CATCCTCGAATTCCTGCAATAAAGACTTAGCCAAACTAGGGAGGGGTGGGTTAGTTTTCTCAAAATTGAGGAGTGGTTCTTTATAAACGAACAAGATCATCTCTTTTCTCTCAACTACCGCCCTCCTCAAATCACTCTCTTTAGCAAAGAAATTCGCTCGTATTTTCTCTCTTCTCTCGGAACAATCCCTTTCTTTTCTTTCTTGTGCTTGCTCTTTCCTTTTCTCTCTAGTGGCTTTCTCAACATTTTCTTTCTTTTTCTCTAACTCACCACTTTCTCTCTTCTTTTTTTTCTAACTCTTTGACTCTCCTCTCTTCCACACTTCTCAATTTTAATTGGTCCTCATAGACTTGCGCCGGTGTTAATGGCACGAGAGTAATGATCCTTCCATCCTTAATGAAACTATATCGATTTTTATACCCATCATGCATAGCCTTCCTATCATATTGTCATGGTCGCCCCAATAAAATATGTCCCGCTTGCATTGGCACCACATCACACATTAACTCATCCTTATAACTCCCAATTAACAAATTAATTAGCACCTTTCGATTCACCCTCACCTCGCCACTCTCATTCAACTGCAATTTATAAAGTCTCAGGTGTCTTAACAATGTTAAACCTAATTTTTCTACAAGAGATACGCTAGCTACATTAGTGCAACTACCACCATCAATTATAACACTACATACCGTATTGTTGATGTGGCATCGAGTGTGGAAAATGTTCTCCCATTGCAACTCCAAGTCATCCGCTTTGACGTGAGTAGTGAGAGCTCGCCTTGTGACTAGTAGATCCCCAACAGGCTCTTCAACTTTTTCTTCTTCACTAACATCCTCCAATACTGGCATGTCATCAAATTCGCCATCATTATCGCTCACAATCTCCCCATTATCCCGCAATACCATCGCAATATGCCCCGTTCCCAAACACCTAAAACCTTTGATGTCCTGATTACGCGACGGTTGTGCCTCCGATTTTGATATTGGTTTGCTAGCATTTTCATCCTTATCCTTTTGCCAATCATTTTTAGCTCTAGGTGCAATCCTGTTTTTGTTGTTGTCATCCCATTTCAATTTCCATGTTGGATTAGGAGTCGAAGTTCCTAACGGTTGCCTAGATGTCCCCTTCCTTTTCAATTGCCTCTCAACCTTCATTACCACATGTAACATGTCCTCGATTTTCACATAGTGTTGCAACTTTACAACGTTTGCAATATCCCGATTTAACCCATTCAAGAACCGTGCCATGGTAGCTTCCTGATCTTCCTCCACATTAGCCCGAATTATAAGAATTTTCATCTCCTTGTGATAGTCCTCTACGCTTTTCGATCCTTGGTACAAACCTTGTAATTTTTGATGGATTTCCCTATAATAGTGACTTGGAACAAACCTCCTCCTCATCAACACCTTCAATTCATCCCAAGTGCTAATTGGTCTTTCCCGACCCCTACGCCGTGATATAAGTACTTGATCCCACCAAGATATCGCGTAATCCACAAATTCAAGCACCACCAATTTTACCTTTTTCTCCTCCGAATAATTATAGCACTCAAAAATCATCTCAATCTTCCTTTCCCACTCTAAATATGCTTCCGGATCGCTTCTCTACTTAAATTGCGGAATAGTTATTGTAATACTCCCCAAATTTCCATCCACTTCATCTCCCAAGTTATTTCTACCCCGTCTTTCCATCCTATCGCCCCTATGCCTCGCTCGACCCATATCAAAGTCATTTTCATCAAAATTATCCTCATCACTACGATACTCATCTCGCCTTCCTCTCCTAGATTCACGCCTACCCGGTCCCCTAGTATTAGATATTTCCACTTGCCCCCGACTAAGATTAGCAATTGTAGTACCTATTTGCACCATCCATTCCCCTTGCCTATCCACCTTCTCCCTAACATCACCAAGTACCCTTTCAAACCTCCTTATCATGTTCTCCGATGCATTGTTGTCATTACCGTTTCGGCTTGAATTAGAACCTTCTCTTTCTGACATCATATCATACAATTTTTTTATGCCTTACAAAGATTTCACTTGAAAAATACTCATTATGACTTTTTCCCTCTATTAAACTCACCACTCGACCTTTTACCACTCAAAGTCTCCCTCCAAGCACTTCAAAGAACCAAGTGAACTAAATGAATTGTTTTACCGGGAATTCAAACAAACCGAATATTAATCGAAGACTACGAGACTCAAAGGATTTGAATAAATGGAATAGATGAATGTTTTGACAAGAATATGTGAATAGACTCAATTGAAGATTGAAAGAATCGAACCCAATTGAATATCCCAAAGTCAAACACAATGTAGGAAGTATTGTTGGTAGAAAAACAAAATCAAACAATAATAATATAAAAAAAAAAATTTGTACCTTTTTTTTTTTTTAACTCTTTGATGAAAAAAGATGATTAAACTACCAACAACTCAACGAAACGACGAAAAGAAAAACAAGAACGAAGAAGAACTAAGAAAACAAAATTAACGACTCAAACAAATAAAGAAAAGATATAACCTTCAATTAATTTGGAGTTTGGAGCTAAAGCTATGATACCAACTGATACGAACCCTGTAGCAACGTTAACTACGAAACCCACAATGAGATTGACGGACCCAAGAAAGCCAAATTAATTCAAGAGTTTAGGATTAACCCAAAAGAAAGTCGAACCAAAAAACCCAACAAGAACGACGCTTGAAAGACCCCTTGATCACGCAATCCAAGAATTAAATCCGGTTGTTTGAACGCTACAAGTTAACACTTGATAAGTTCGAAATTGTTCAATAAAGAACGATGAAGAGAAGATAATATGCCTCACTTTTAATTCAATATCAAAATGTCAAAAGGTTTTTTTTAACAATTGAATGAAAACGCCTATTTATACTAAACCTAAAAACTAGGTAAAAATCGTGCAAAAGTCGATCATAATCCCTAAAATATGGAAAAGAATCAAAAACCAACAAAATATGAAAAATTGTCAAAATTAGAAAATTCGCCAATTTTTTGGCTTATGCGACCGCGACGTTCATTGTTATGCGGTCGCATAGTTCAAGCAAGTTTCGCCCTTTGAGTTTCGGTAAGCTTCCATGCGACCGCAAGCCTCCCAAGCCTATGCGACTGCATAAGCTTATCATTTTCCTCCGTCTTCGGCTTCGATATTAAATTGATCCAAGTTGATTCGATCTTCGACCCGAACATGAAAGTTGCTCCATTTTGAGTCCCGAACATAGTTCCATCAATGATTTCTTGAACGAGCAATCCCATCGCTTGTTTCACTTGCTTTGCCCTTGATCGCGTCATTGGTCTGCTTTCGACTATCAACGGATCTCGTCTCGCACTTGCCTTCGTCGGGCTCAACTCCCGGATCATATCAATAAGAGTAAATACATAGAAATGACTAATGATTATGATTAATATATCACGTTGAAAGATCACTAAAATTGAAGAGATATGTAGTTGAAAAATTGTGAATTTCATAAAATATATGATTAAAATTAATTGTTCACTTATTTTAAATTAAAATCAAAACCAAGCGGGAGCATAATAATTTTTTTAGCTCATGTCTTAATGCTCATAATGAAAAAAATAAAAGAAAAAAAGAAGAAGTAAGTTTTACTTATTTTGGACTTAGCCGAACAGGCTCGAATTCTCAGTCGAACCCCAGTCCACGACTCCTTTCTCTAATTTTCCATCTCTGCCTATGGCGAGTGTCAGTGGAGGATTAAAATTTGTTTCACCTCTGGAATCAAGTTTACTTCATAGCTTCTGAAGCAATATGTCGTGTCTATGGTAGGCGGTTTCTCTTTTCAGATTTCCAATTTTGTAATTCATAGTCGCGTGATTTATTTTTTCAACTCTACATACTTTAGTTGATTCGAGCATCCATCAGTTAACTGTTGATTTGCATTGTTTTTGGTGTATTTACGCTAAGAATTTAGTATTGTTTAGTTTTTGAACTAAGGTCTTTTTACAAGAATGAAATTATTTTAGCTTTGAAGAAAAGAATTACAGGATGATATTTAAACTAATTCCGTCAGTTCCAAATCAAATGATACCTATATTCGAACTCGTGTGTGAAATTCAATCAAGTTGGCCAAGTTAAAAGTTACTTTTCTTGATAGTAAGTTAAGATTTTTAATTTTTTGAAAATAAGTCTTGAAGTAACTATAAAACTATGTTTGGTAAAAAAGAAGCTTTAAAATGTAAATTTTACTTCTTTTTAATCTTAGCCAAACATGAGGAAGTGTTCTTTTCATGAATATACAAATAAGGTAGCATTCATTCATATGCAATAGAATTTGCTCTTAGAAATACAAATGATGAGCAATTCCTTTGATGATTTTCACCGTCCATTTTCTCACACTGATGCCTATTTGCTTAGTAATTTTGAATTGTGACAACTCATAATTAACACTTGATGTAGTTCAGAATTAATGAGAAGGCTTTGTCACGTACTTCAGATTCCTTGATTCTCTGACTTATTTTGTTAAGGGCGTGACTTATATGATTATACTTCTATAATATTGCTGGATGCTTTTTACATGTTTTGAAACTTATATATTTTTCTTATAGATAGAGAAATTTTTAGATATATGTCTCTATTTTCTTGTTTTTGTTTTTTTGGGGGTTCCTTAAAGGGACAAATGGTTAACATGTGTTACTTGAAACAGTACACAATTTAAAATGTGAATGAGAATTGGTAGGATCCCTTGTTTTGACAAGGCTTGTCCAACTTGAGGTCCTATGCATTTCTCTAAACTGATTTCCTTCATTTGAAATAGTATAAACATGTTCTAAGCAAATGAAATTAGAAAAATACTTGAAATTTCATAACACGTATACTCATAAATTTTCTATTCTATGTCCCTATTTTATCCACATTTTTTTCTTCCAAAAAATACATTTTTAAATAATGATTTGACATTATTTCAGCCACACATTATTTAATAAAATAATATTATACACAAATCTAAAATTTTCCTTATTTTTTAATCACACATTTCCTATCAATACACAATTCAAAAATGCATTCTTATGGAAATAATCAGGCTCAAACAAGAGCTATGAGAAAGAGAAATGAAGAACTATAAAGTAAATAGCACTCTAAGAGTAAGGTGCAGTAACTCAGCAGAGGTAAATAGACATCCGTCAATATTTCTATGTCAAACTTCGGAAAAGGGCAGGAAACACTTTAAAGTGCTTATATCACATAAATTAGATCCTCATATCTTCTTCATTATCTGGACTACTTATTTTTCCAATTTTATGTAAGTGTTATCACGAGGATGGCCGTATGAGTGTGGCAGCTGAATACAACCAAGGTATGTGAGATCATCTCATATATGTGCCTCAAGGGACATTCTTTACCCTATTGTCTTGAGTCAATTTACACTTCTCCTTGAAGCTATCTCCAAAATGCCTTTTATAAGATTGCTTTAAAGTAATGACTGTCAGGACTGAGATTTACTGATTTTTTTCCCTCCATATCAGTGCTTTTTAGCAGATTCTATGATACTTGAGGATCAGAAGTCATCCTAGTTGCTGAAGAATTAACCTCAAGATGCTTTTCTGACCATTATTAATTTACAATACATGCAATGGACTTCTGTTTCAAAGGCTTATGTGCTGTAAAGATAAAGCAACTGCTATGTATTATTGTCATTGCAATTGCTGTTCTAGTTTTTTCTCAGACCACATCACTTGATGAACACTACTTGCCAAGTTTGTCACATACAAATGGGGGCATTTTAACTTTTATGGTCAGCAGCACAAACCTGTCTAATATACCAAAATCAGACAATGCGTATAACATTCATGAGGTGTTTAGTAATGCTAATACTCCTGACTTGGATGAAGAAGTTTCTAGTGAGAAGGACACATACAATGTCACTTCATTAACTGGTGTGGGGGACATAATTGCTTTAACTGGAATAGAGGAAGGAAATTTAAAACTCGTTGCAGCAAAGCCGGTCAAGGGAGACACTGATGCTGCCAGGAATATTAACTCAAGAGCAAGTGCTGGTTCACACCATATAAAAAGCAGCAATCAAACAGGTTTTGGCCCCTCAAATCAGTTGTTACCAAGAGATTTAAAGTTTATTGGTCAAGAATCTGGAAGTTTAGGTGTATCTGATGTGATCAACACATCTCCCACACATGATGACAAAGTACACTTGGAAACCCAACGTACAAATAAAGATAATGAATTATTGCAAACTGGTTCATATATGTCAAACCTCAGCACAATGGTGGCTGGTGCCTCTGGCTTTAGAAAGAGGGGAGGAAAACCAACATCGATCTTCCAGATGAATTCATTATTGTTGAAGAATTCTGCTTCAATGATGGCAATGGTATGGATTTAAAGTTTTAATTTGAAATAAGATACCAGACTAAGTTATGTGATTTAGATCTCTGACCTTTATTTTCTTTGGTCATAGAGGCCCCTTTTGTCTTCTACACGTGATAAGGAACTTCAACATGCGAAACTTGAGATTAAAAATGCTCCTATCATAAGGAATGTCCCTGAAGTCCATGCTTCTCTTTTCCGAAACTATTCCATGTTTAGAAGGTATACTCAATTATTACATGCTTTTTCTTTTGCCTATGCTATGTTATGCTATGTTCAGCAGCAGGAACTTGGCGTTGAAATAATTTAAATAAAAAATAATTTCTAATTCCAATTTCGAGGCCTCAACTCCATGCTTATTGACTGCTTATGTTGGCTTGCTAGCTATATACTGTATACAAGCGCGCATATGTATTCACCCTTTGCAGAAGATATGTTTCTATTAAAAGATTTTAGATATTAAATTTGAAATGAAATTCTTTCTTTTCTCCCGTCCTTTTATTTTCCTTTTATAATTCGTCGTGTTTTTAGACTTAGCATGTGCTTCTGGGAATGATTTGTGATATAAACATTGGATAAAATGGGTAACAATTTTTTGTGGATGTAAAATTGAAAGTTGACGACCATGAACAAATTGGTATGATTTAACGGTAAATGGGAGCATTTTTACCTCCAATTGTGCATTCATTTAGTACACTTTCCAATAAAACAAGATTTATGTTGATCTCTCTATTATCCATCTCTTGTTGTTTTTTCCTCCATCATTATGGCCAGTGTTTGTTGAATAGCTTGTCTGTTGAAATGAAAACTTATGGGGTTAAAAATATCAATGGCCGTGTACATTCAACCTCATGTTCCAGCAGTCACTGAAATTAAATTTTTTTGAATAGCTATTGTACTTTCGACGATGTTTCCCATCTGAGACTGTGTCTCATTCCATTTGAAAATTAGCGATTTCGATGACGTGACAAACGGAATCATTAATTTTTCAAAGGATCTGGAGTGACAGATGGGAAACAATGTTAAAAGTACAATAAATATTTGTAAAAAAATTAATGTCAAGGGACTTTTGGGAACAGATGTAGAAGCATAGTGACTATTTGGGAAAAATTGAAGTTTAGTGATTGTTAAGAAACAATTTTGAAAATTCAGTTGCCTTTGGGATTTTTACCCCTAAATATACTTATATGTAGTAATTGTGGTTGGGAACAGTTTCCCTCCCAAACTATTTATTAATAAATCCATTGCATTTTTTCTCTTAGCTTCCCACCTTAAGATATCTGTCTTATTTACTGAGTTACATTTTTGTATGAATTATCTTACTATAATACAATGCATACATGTACAAAGTTGCCAAGGCTACGTGTTTCAATCCCTCAAAAAAATTCACATAGCCTATATGAATTTAGGGTGGTAGCAACAGGTGATCGTTTTTCTCTCTTAATTCTGCATCTCAATTAGTGCACTGTCCACTAAAACAAGATTTAAGTTGATCTCTCCATTATCCAATTCTAGTTCCACTAATTTGTGCATTTTTGAAGAGTAGCTCATATGTTTGAAAATTATTTTGTGTATTTAATTATGGCTTGGTACATTTTCCCTCTCAAGTATACACTAACAGGCACACCACTATTTTTCTCTTTGTATCCCATCTTAAGGTTTCTTCTCTTGATTCCTGAGTTACATTTTCTTGAGAATGAACTTCTATAAAGCAATGTGTGCCTGTATATATTTTTAAAAAACTGAACCATTTGTGAAGTCTAGATGTGTTTCAGTTCTTCAAAGACTTCGCATTACTTCTAATGTCATAACACGATGGATGCTAATTATGAGACCTGCAAGTTTATCAATGTATATTGGGACTTGAAAACAACTTACTTGATCTTCTGTAGCTTCATGTTGGATATCTGGATAGAGACATCTAAACATTGATGCCTATGATCTTAATGGCAGGAGCTATGAATTGATGGAACGCATGCTCAAAGTTTATGTCTACAGGGAAGGGGAAAAACCAATTTTTCATCAACCACATTTACGGGGCATTTATGCTTCTGAAGGATGGTTCATGAAACTGATGGAGGGAAATAGACAATTTGTTGTGAGGGATCCCAAAAAAGCTCTCTTGTTTTACATGCCCTTTAGTTCACTAAAGCTAAGGAATGCACTTCATGAGCCAAATTTCTCCAGTCAAAAGGATCTAGAAAATCATCTGAAGAATTATGTAGACACTGTTGCAAGAAGATATCGTTTCTGGAACCGAACTAAAGGAGCAGATCATTTTGTTGTTGCTTGTCATGATTGGGTATGATTCCAGTTTTCCGTCTATACTCTGTTTTATATTTCATTGGTGAAATGACATTATTTCGAGATGCTGTTTCCATTTTTATTTTGTACTCCTGCATACCTTGTGCAATTTGATATTATTTTCAAATGACATGCACCGGTCTGGTACTAATATTGGATGGTCAGTAAAGCTTGAGCCAGACTTAAAAAATTTGTTCCCAAATCTCAGATATACCGGAAATAATAGCTTCTCTAGAGATTCTTAGGATTCCCAATTTGGCAAAGACTGTTAAGAACTCGACTCAACTATAAAGCCTTGTCCATTCTAATTTTCTATGTCATGGACTATTTCCACAGTTTCAAAGGCTCTACTCACTTTAAACTACTCATTTCTTGAATTTTTAAGTTGAACTTAGATTTTGTTTAGTTTAGTTTTTTTTCTTTTTTCTTTTTTTCTTTTTGGGGGATTATTTATGGGAGGAGTGGGGAGCAACCAGTGTCGGTATTGTTGGTTTTAGCATGAAAGAATACCATGTAAAAAGACTCTCAACAAACCCTTTGCTGTAATGTCTTTTCTTTTTGTATTTCATGTCTCCATTTTACTTCAGAAAAGCACCCTCTACCAGGCACCAGCCGCCTCACAAGCCATTATTTGCATCCATATGATACTCCCAATTCGATACCTAAATCTATAATCATTAACTGATTGTACCATATGATGTTTACTCTAAGTTTTATTAATTTTTTATTTTTTTATTATTTTTATTTTTGGGGACAGGCCCTACGGTTCACGAGGAAAAATTTAGGAAATTGTATCAGAGTTTTATGTAATTCCAACATTGCTAGAGGCTTTAACATTGGGAAGGATGTCTCTTTGCCAGTAACCTATATTCGCTCTGGAGAGAACCCTCGGAAGGATATTGGAGGAATTCATCCTTCGCAGAGAACTATTCTAGCCTTCTTTGCTGGAGGGATGCATGGATTTGTCCGTCCGATCTTACTGCAATATTGGAACAACAAGGAACCCGACATGAAGATCTTTGGGCCAATGCCTCGTGATATCGATGGTAAAGCAAGATACAGAGAGTTCATGAGAAGCAGTAGATATTGCATTTGTGCTAAGGGCTATGAAGTCCACACGCCACGTGTTGTGGAATCCATATACTATGAGTGTGTGCCTGTGATTATATCTGATAATTATGTACCCCCATTCTTTGATATTTTAAATTGGGAAATGTTTGCACTATTCATTTTAGAGAAAGATATTCCCAATCTGAGGAGCATACTTCTATCGATTCCAGAAGATAAATACATGATGATGCAGCAAAGATTAAAAATTGTTCAGCAATATTTTGTTTGGCACAAAATTCCTGAGAAGTATGACTTGTTTCATATGATCCTTCACTCAGTTTGGTACAAGAGAGTTTTCCAGGTAAAATCTTTATGAGGATTTGTCAGAGTTGAAATCTATGTGTGCTCTATAGTCCTTGAAGTGCAAGAATGATGAGACCAAGAGACCCAAATTTGTCATGAATCTTAAACATGCTTTCAACTGATTGATGAGGTCGAATGGATTGAAATCTGTTACATCCGTTCATCCTGCTACTAGCTAGTAGTTGCGGAACTAGCGATACAAAACCTGTAGAGAGTCAAGAACCATGATAAACCGGTACGCTGTTCTTCCGTCGGTATAACTTCTTCTTCCAGAAGATAAATACATGATGATGCAGCAAAGATTAAAAATTGTTCAGCAATATTTTGTTTGGCACAAAATTCCTGAGAAGTATGACTTGTTTCATATGATCCTTCACTCAGTTTGGTACAAGAGAGTTTTCCAGGTAAAATCTTTATGAGGATTTGTCAGAGTTGAAATCTATGTGTGCTCTATAGTCCTTGAAGTGCAAGAATGATGAGACCAAGAGACTTCCAAATTTGTCATGAATCTTAAACATGCTTTCAATTGATTGATGAGGTTGAATGGGTTGAAATCTGTTGCATCTGTTCATCCTGCTACTAACCAGTAGTTGCGGAACTAGTGATACAAAGCCTGTAGAGAGTCAAGAACCGTGATAAACTGGTACGCTGTTCTTCCATCAGAATAACTTCTTCTAAGCCTGGCTACTGCTTGCATTCACCTCGAGGCCCCTGTTTTCAGTAATTCGGGGGATTCCCCTTCGTGAAGTGATTTGGGAATGTTATTTGCTGCTGTTATGAAAACTTATCTCACTTGAAAAGCATTGTAAAGAATTTTCTGTTTCCATTCACATTTTCTCTACTGATTGATGTATATATCTAATAGTAATTCAAACTTTTGTTAATTTCCATGTAAATATATGTCATTATATCATTCTCTTTGTCATGCTCAAAAATAGTTTGTCTTCTTTGTGTAAACCATAGTCAGGTCTTTTTTTTTATATTGATATATATCCCTTTAGTTTGGTGGGTGTGGGGATTGGGAAGCGGCCGGGCAATATCAAGGGATGTTTGTTTCTTGTTTTGTTCAGAAGTTTGCCTATAATCTCATGCAATGACGAATGTTACTAAGTGGGAATCAATTGCCAGGATATTTAACTTAATAAGTGCCAGACTTGAGGTATGTAAATCGATCAAGAATTAATCCTTAGATCTTCAACAGCGGGATCTAATCCCTCGTGTTAATTTCATTGCCAGAAACTGAAGCAATTCATGCTGTATATCCAGTCACGGGTTTTTATGAAGTGTATTTCGTTGCAGGTAATTTTCAGTGACCTTTTCTTTGAGATCTACAAAATTGGAAACTAACAAGAATACTTTTGGGGTTAACTCTGACCATTTTTTTAACTAAGAAATTCGTCAATTGGAATGTGCTTTGTTTCAGGCTAGAGTAAGAAGATCCCGCGTTTGAGATGACGAGAGACACGAGGAAACACAGAGCAATAAGAGCCGTGAAAATCACGACTCAGACGACCATGCTCTGTCCCGCTGATCTAGTCTCTAGGGGAAAGAGTTCGCTTGGAACAAACTGTTGCGTTTTTACTAACTTAAATATACAATATTGAATAAGTAGTATAATGGACCTAAGAGTCCGGATTTCGTTCCAATAAGGACTGTATTTTATAACTTAATCTACTATCTTTCTAACGACTATTCAACATGCAAACAAAGATTTGTAGGATTTGATTTAAATTTTAATGCGTAGCAATATGCGATTTCACACAAAGATTGGTTAGGAAATTAGATAATAAATAGATATTAGGACAGAACAATTTTACCTATCGATCACCTTTACATTTTAAATCAAGACTCATATCTAATGTAATGTTCGGTCGAATTTTCTTATTGTATTTAAGGTACCGCTCTTGAGCTTTCATTAAGCCTATTTTACTAATTAAATTTCATCTCTCTATGCAAATCAATTTTAGTTAAACGAAATCTTGGTTCTACAAATTCACTTATGATCGCAATAATAGTATAAATATCTCTACACATTATACCAATTTATCGGATTTTATTATATAGGGCCTGTTTGAGCCACATTATTTCAAAAAAATACATTCTTAAACAGTGATTTGATATCATTTTAACCACACATTCTTCAATAAAATAATATTACACGCAGATAAAAAACTTTTCCTTATTTTTTAACCATACATTTCCCATCAATATACTATTCAAGAATGCATTATTACCAAAATAATGTGGTTCAAACACCCCCCATAGTCTAAATTCTAAACTCACATCTCAATTCGTAAAAAATTCATAAAATTATCAAATTAGTGATCCAGTAATTCAACGCATTAAACGCATAGTAAAATCAACACATGAAAGAATAAAGAACAAGAACCTTAATTAAAAGACATAAAAGATCCCAATTAAGTTATATTATTTGCCCTAACAAAAAATTTAGCTACTCATGAAAGAGGGAAAACTAGATATTGTTATTGAATACATCGCTAGATTTGTAGAATAGATGTAAAAGAAAAAATCAATCTTGCACCAAAATCTCTTTCATCTTCCGATCAATACTTCAAATGGTGAATTCCTTGATGTTTTCCTCCCTTGAATTGCTTCTTTGATTCTCAAATTGTGTTCATTGTCTCTCAATGTGTGCAATCCCCTTCAAAAGTGTGGAAACTTGTATTTGTAGTTGCCTTCCCGTGTGTGGTAGGATTTCTATGGACCTTAAAACAGGCCGAATCTCGCACCTAATTGATTCAACAGCGATGCTTGTTCTGTGGTGTTGCAGTGTCGCACTACTTTTGTATGCGCCCCCAATTTGCTTCTCTTGGCGTCGCAGCACCCAAAGCATGGTGCCGTAGCGCCCAGGGTCTGTCTTCTCCTTTTCTAATGGCATCACGGCACCACATCTCTCCTTCTCTTTCTTTCGTGGCTCCTTGGCTCCTAGGCGTTACTAATCCAATCATTTTGCTTTTCCTCTTTTGCCCTTTACCAACAATTTCTTCTCAATCTATGCCAATAGCTTTATTTGATGAATTTTTTTTTTTTTTTTGTGTCTTTTACCATCTCAATAGTCCTATAAAACAACACTAATAAATACAGTAAAAAGATTCACTACTCGTAAAATCAAGCTTACAATCAAGTTAAAAAAATATTATAAATTCATGACTAAAACACACCATCAAATACCTCCCAAACTTAACAATTTGCTAGTCCTCAGACAAACACAAGAAAAAGGAAAAATAACTAAGGCCACGAACAACAATTCAATTAGACGACTTGCCTTTTGGCTCAGCATTGAAAACATTATATCACATTCGTGAACAATTTCAAGATAGCAATGCAAGAACAAACAAAATTGAAATGCTGGGATTCCTGTAGCTCATATTACCAACTTGGAACTGATTCTTCCTTTTCAGAAGATTCGTGAGTAGAATTGAGGTACCTCTTTCTCTATGATTTTTCTTCCTTCATTAAATTCGACCCAGTTTAACATCACTGTTCAACCAGATTGTTCGGGGTCTCTAGATGGAAAATTCCACCAACAAACATAAAAATACTGGAACTGCAGCTAAGCCATGGGACAATCTCCATCCCCATGGATGGATTCTTTTGTCTGTAATTTATGAAGTTAGCTACAAGATTTCTTGAGCAAGTTGTGAGTTGAAAGAGTTGATTAACAGCTCTCAAATTTTCGCTGGTTCCATTGCTGAAAGATATGGAAAAAGCGTTGGGTTGTGTGCCCTAAACAATATTTTATTTAGCCCCATTTGATTCCATTCTTTGGCCAAAAAAATGAAAAATATGATCGTTATCCATCACATTAAGTCATCATATTTCACTTTCTATCTCTTGTGTGAGTCTTGTAACGACTATATTTTTCATTCTCATTCTTAAAATAATGAGAATCAAACGGAGGCGAATGAATTAAATTACCTATGATAAGTTGGGTGTTTCAATGGAAAACCGTAACACAACTTAGCCCCCGTTTGTCCCTCTTTATTTTTTATTATAATGGGGAAATAGTACCTTTTTTTTTTTTTTAAAAATGGATTGCTGTAAAAGAATTAAAAAACTTCGATTTATATGTAATATTATTTTATTGAAAATAGGAGAGAGAAAATTTTAATTTAATTTAATTTGATAAGATTTAATAGGGGCCAAACAAGGGTCTATTAATGCTTACTTTGACTTGGTGATTAACTTTTGAGCACGAGTCTCGCTACACGACCAGACTAAATCCCAACGTGGCAAAACAAAAAAAAAAAAGGAAAAAAGAAAAAGATCGATTAATCAGTCTCTTTTGACCAAATCTCCTACCCATTTTCCCCAATTCACCCGGGGCAGTTTTTAAAATGGCTGGATAATTGATTTTATTTTCCACAATGGCCTTTTCTATAAGAAATACTATTTTACCCTTACTATAATTATTTGCAAGATGTATCTTATATCTTCAAGGATTTATTAATTAGGGCCTATATCTATATTTTTCAATTTTTCAAATACCTTTAAATATTCTTTATATTTTAGTAGTTCTTCAAAGATCCTAGACTAACCTTTCTTAGTTATATATCCTTGAACTAATCCTTTTGAAATTTCTTCTTGTATATCTCTATATTTAGTTATAATATCTTCTACTTTTCTTATCTCTCTACAAGTTCCTGCAGAATCAAATCCTATATTATTTTTACAATTATAATCTATATCTCTATACATTTCTTCAATTTTTTCTTTGCCAACAGGAAATATATCTTCAAACTTTTCAGCTAATTTAAATAAAAACGAAACATCTTTTTCATCTAAAAATAATATGAGATTATTATCATTATTAGAAGTAGATGTGGATGCTTGTGAATTGTTCATCAGAATAATTAAAGCATAAGCATGTAGAAACAAATAAATAACTTACTGTAATCAAATGAAAGTAAACAGGCTTTCCCTCCAGTATGTTCTTATAGATGTTTTGCATGTACTTAATCAATCTTTTGAATCAAGTAAAGATTTAAAATATTTTTTGAAATCATTTGGGTCCACAACTGTTTTCGCAAAAGGTTTTTAAATTAAGGTTGCATTTCTCATTCTAGAGAACTAGCCGTGTTTCCACAGACGCTATCTCACAGTATCCAGAATCTCTGTTTTCACCTCTATCCAAACTCTTTTCAGAATTAAGTTCCTACTTGGAACGAAATTTTAAAAGATAACTCACACATAAGGTGCTACAATTTTCTTAGAAAACTGCCATTTTCCCCTAAATCAT